TAAGGAGCACTGTATTCTGGTACTTAGCTGGAGGGCTCCGTTTCCTATTGAGGCACAGAGCAGGTTTTTGGGAGTGGCATTTGGCATTTTTCAGCTTTATTGCCAATGCCAATGCCAATCTAAATAATGGAGAAGTAATCAATGCAACAACATCAACTGAGAGGTGTGATTAAATCAATGACCTCCCCAATGAATTTTAGTACTGATCTGTGCATCTAGTGAGTATTCACATGTACCATTCAGCTATGATGAGAATATACCAGATTGAACTAACTCTGCGGTTGGGGGAAAGCTTATAAACGGCACATTTTTGATAGCCTGAAGATCTCAGGCTAACAGCATTGTGGGCATACTGACCATCTGTGATATAGCACTCTGTATAATTTAGAAAGAGAAACTTCAACAACTGCATTGTGGAATATTCAGGGCTGTTAAAATTGATGATGTAGATCTATATTATCAAGATGGAAAGATGCCCACATTATATTGCTAAGTGAAGAAAACAGACTACAGAACAGCATGATTATATAAAATTATTCAATATTTATATCTATACCTATTCATAGATGTGGGGATATTCTCTGAAATGTTAATTGTGCTTATCTTTGAGTGATGAAATTTTGAGTAATTTTTTTCTTTAATTTCTTTTCTTTGGGGGAGGGCAGGGGGGGATGGCTGGCCAGTAAGCGGATTGAAACCCTTGGCCTTGGTGTTGTACACTGCACTCTAACAAACTGAGCTAACCAGCCAGCCCTCTTTACTTTTATTTCCATAGTGTTTTGTATTTTTTACATTTTATATTTACAGTGAGCAGTTATTATTTTTTTTACAATCAGAAAAAGAAAACAATACAGCTCTTTCAGCTTGAAAAAAATTGTTGGAAATAAAAAAGCCTCATTAACCTTCAAATTTCCTAAAAGATGCTTAGTGTAAAATAAACAAAAACAAATTCTTGCATGATGAAGAAAAACATCACCTGCCTCCATAACTGAACCACATAATGTGCTGACTATGGTTAACAGTAAAAGGGAAGAAGGGACACCTTTTAAGGAGAGGCACAGGTGAAATCAAGCTCTCCTGACCTAACACAGACAATATGCCTACTCTTTAAGTGCCTGAAGTGTGATGTATCACTTCGAATACCATTTTAACCCAAGCTTTGATGGCAGTTGATTTGCAGGTATAGTATTTCTAATCCCATAGCCTATAGGACAAGACAGAAAACGTCCCATGCCTGATTGCAAAGAAATGATGACTTCGTTCCTCATGGCAGTTTCTGTTTGAAAAAAAGAGACATATGCTGTTGATCACAGTACGACTCACACTTTATTCCATTGTGATTGGTATACATGTCGGATTGAGACAGCAAGAGACTAAAGTCAGTGCAGAACTTCTCTGGACTAAAGGGCCATAAAAGGCATTACTGGTTTTGGCACACAAAGTGGATAACCATATGCTGGCCGGAACGAGATGGGCAGGTAAATAAAATGCGCAAATCTAACACCATGTTGGAATCATGTCTAAGTTGTGTAGAATGTTAAAGAGTAAATAATTACAAAGACTAACATGCAACTCTATGTGTCCCATTATTCATCCACAGACTATTTTCCCCACTAGAGATGAAGAGATGGCCTTAGTAATCTGTTCACAGCCGCTTAAAAGAGCAACCAAGATACATGAGAGAGATGTGCCTGCTGATTTCTATAGCAGTCCACATAGTTGAAAAATAATGCTAAATAATGTATTTTCTCTATATTGTCCTTTTATTAAATTGAATCATATTGGCCAAATAATTCTGACTTAACTTTTACTTACTTAAACGTAATTCCTCATGTCTTTACAATGTCAAAAAGCAGTTTCTGTTAGTTCTTCTACCCTTGTAAGTCACAATGGACAAGAGGGGAACCTATGTAACAGTTATCTTTCCTTTTCAAAGATAACATCATCTGAGGACAATGACAAAGAAGTAATTCTACTATGCTGCAAGTAATTTAGGTTTTCGCATTGTCATATCACATAGGGAGTCCACAGAAGCAGGCCCAGTAGGTAACGTAGCAGTGCAGAATACGATGCAGAAGAGGACACAGATTCTAAGTGATTTCTGAAGACAAAAGAGGAGAGAGAGAAAGAAACAAAGGAAAGGAAAAGTGAAAAGCAGCCTTCTGCAGAACAAAGTGTTACCAAGAAAAAAGTTTATTCACTTGCAATTGACCAAACACAATAGAGAACAGTTCTTTAATTTGGGATGATAGAAATAAAGTTACTGAAAATTACATGCCAGTTAGCCTAAACTGGCTGATTGCGCTATTTCCAACATGAGAGAGATGTTGTGCTCTCATAGGGAGAACTTCTGCTTTTGCCAGTGTAGGGGCAGATTTAACTCAAAAAGGCAACCATAACTGCTGAGAACAATTTTTCTTTATTGACTTGGGCATATGGCTACCATTCGTTCTTTCTCTGGTAAAAACATATTATTCATTCACGATGAGACGGTTCAAAATATGACAGTGACCAAGATGTGGGTCATTCACAGGATGCACATAATTAGATATGTGCACGCAATATGAAATTTTAAAGTTAAGCAACAAGGAAGAGAAGGAGAAAAAGGAATTTCTTCAAATTTCTGGCATTAAATCATTAAATAAATGAAAAAAGAATATGACAGTGACCAAGATGTGGGTCATTCACAGGATGCACATAATTAGATATGTGCACGCGATATGAAATTTTAAAGTTAAGCAACAAGGAAGAGAAGGAGAAAAAGGAATTTCTTCAAATTTCTGGCATTAAATCATTAAATAAATGAAAAAAGAGTAGTTAAGGATGTCTTGATTTTCTCAGAGGTTTTTCACTTTCATCTGCTAAGGGGGAGAAGAAATGAATGAAGGCATTCTCTCTTGGCCACCAACCTAAGAAATGTTTGATTATAAACATAGAGGTGAGCAGAGCAAGACATATTTCTTAATCTCTGTGATTCTTCATCTTCAACAACAAGCCACAGGCGATACAGGAAATGTGGAGATGATGAGGAAGTTTGATAACATGCCTGAGTCAGTCACCATTCCTTGGAAAGTACCATTTCCCTGGCCTGCTAATAGACTGATTCTTTCAGGTTGAAGTATAAGAACGATCTCTTCCTTCAGTGTGGCATTGTTATTCATAAGAGACCTGTGTCAGTTGAAGGTTGTGTAATTGGAAAACTAGAGAAGAAAGAAGTTTTAACTGAATTCCACAATAAGTATTCATGAATATTTGAAAGGAGAATTGCCCATTGTCTGAGGTTGTTTCAAGCATCAAGCTGATCACTTCCTGAATGCACTCCTTGACCATGAGGGGCTGTTCCCTCTGGCTCACACTAGACTAATCATTCTTAGATATATTGTCTCTGTCAAAAGAAATGACTTTGCTAGACCAGAATAACTGCAAGGGGTAGAAGGCTGGAAACAGGGTGAGTCAGGACAGAGAGAAACAGAAATGAGCTGAAGGAAAAAATAAGACTTTCCTTCAAGGTCGTATATTGCCAGTAATGAAGCAAAAATTCATAGAATGTGCCTTAAAGACTTTCTAAGACATTGTACCCATAGGGTGTTTCCAAGCTTCTTGATCTGCAATCCCTTAGCAACCATCTGGTGCTAAATTTACCTTCTTAGGTGTGGTGCCCTACTTCTTCTGGAATTTAGATCTCTGTGGCAAACCCCATGGGGATGTGCCTCTGCATAGTTAACACTCCCCCAAACAGCCACTTTTTGGTCACAAAGCCTGTTTGCCCCTCTGGGGGAGAGAGGGTTGGTGATGGCAGATGTAGCTGTGAGGCAGAGGAGACTGATGGCTGACAGAGTGGACCTGCAGGAAGGTATCCAGAAGGCAAGACTTTGGATTTTACCCAAGGTCAGGGTGGCTATGATAGAACTGGAAAAGGCAAAAGAAAGAGACTGGATAAAAAGTTTTCCGCACTCAAAAGAAAAAAAAGAGGAAAAGCGGGGAGGATCCATGGGCCAGGGAATTTCACAGGAATCAAACATGATTCATGATACAGAGAAAAAACCCAGCTTATCTGACTGATCAAGAAGACATTCTTCAGAATATATTGGCAACGAAATGATTTTCACAAGGATAATACAAACACTAAAATGAGTGTTTCCTTACTATTATTAATCACATTTCAATTATTCATTATCTCTATATTTTCTAGGTTGCTTAATTCATTTAGTAAATCCACATATTAGGTACCACCGTGAGGGGAGGGAGGTTGGGGGTGCAAAATGAAGCAATTAAACTTAGAAT